GTATTGTAAATGAAAGAGGCATTATGGAAGAAAGAGATGAGAGTGATAGAGGTGATAAGGAAGTGATGAATATGTAGTGTTTGAGATTATTGTATTAATACTTGAGATTGAGATAGATGAGAATATGAGCTTTTTAGAATTGATATATTCATCAAAATTATTATTTGATATAGGTCTGGAAGGTGGTTTATTCTGAATTGTTTGTTGCACATATTACAATATAATCTATTGAAATACTTTTGATAATAAAAATAACTCGATTTTTGATTTTTAAAATCTGTTTTAAAAATCCAATAACTGCATATGGAGCTTCCAGGTGCCATCCCCCTAAATTGTAACTGCTAGTTTATAATTGTAATAAAATACTAGGATATTTCAAATATATTTAAATAATTATTCAGATTATAAAGATTTATTTTTTTTTGTGATTTTTAATATGCTTAATTTTTTCTTTTGTCAATATGTCAAATGATCAAAATTTTTGATGCAAATTGACTTAGTCTATTTGTGTATTATCCACAAATCTTTCTACCTATTTGTATCAAAATTTTTCTTGTTTTTTTTATTCAACCAATATACTTTAAAATATTCAAGAGGTTGTTTAAACAAATGCAAAATTTATCAAATGCATCAATTATTAAACCTAATCTTAAGTTTTTACCAAGTTGAAAATATTGATAAATTAATTTTTGTTCTGAGGAGAGAACTTGACTTTCTGCTAAATTAATGTTTTCATATAATGTTTGAAAATTCAATATTACTTCATGAATTGATTCTTTAGATCTTCTTGAATCAAGAGAATAATTTCTTGTGATTAAGATTCGATTGATAGAAAAATTTCTTTCACTACTTTTGTATTACACATCAAATAATCAAAAATTAGTAAAATTTTGATACAAATTGCCTTAGCCTATTTGTATATCATTCACAAATCTCCTTACCTATTTTTCTTCATTTGACCAATGTACTATTTTATTGTCTTAAATTTCTTTAATAGAAATTCTTTTATCATATACAAATTTTCTCTTTAATATTTTATAAATAACTTGGAATAGAGATGTCCAATTTTGATAAAAACAACTAAGAAATGTTTGCCTTGATAAGAGGAGTCTAATGAGCTTTTTATTGTAAAAATTGGATTACAGGTTAGCAAAACTTCTCAATATAACATAAAAAAATATAATAGAATTTAAATACTGATAAATATCTAATTATGAAACATTAACTTTGTGTAAAGAAGTCCAATTTTAATGAAACAACTACCAAAATGTTCACCTCAATAAGGGGATCTAATGGGCTATATATCACAAAAATTGAATCATAGGTTAGTGAAATTCCTCCATATAACATGAAAAATTATAATTGATTTTATCTACAGATACTGTAAATACCTAATAATGAAGCATTAACTTTACATAGGGATGTTCAATTTTGATGAAACAACTATCAAAATGTTCTCTTCGATGAGGCAAATTTAATGAGCTATAAATCGTGAAAATCTGATCACAGGTTATTGAAATCACTCAATATAACATGAAAAAATTAGAATAAAATTTTACCTACTGATAAAACAAATATTTTGGTTAATAACTTGGTGTAAAGATGTCCAATTGGGATAAAAAAAAAAGTATCATTTTGAAGCCAGAAACATGGAGACTAAAAATGGAAACATTGTAAAGTCCACAATTAATTGTGAACTTATGGATTTATATCACAATTCTATTCAAAAAATCCACAATATTAAGGACTTGAAAAAATAATCCTTTACCCACAAGCCTAGTTCCAAGGAAGAAAGGTAAGTTTTTACTTAGAGAAGGGATAAAAACAAGGAAAAGGGATAAGTTCATTTTTAAAAAAAAAATTAATAAAAATATTATATCTATCAGCTATTTTTAAACAGGTAAATGTTTTTTCCGCTCCCAAATACAAAAATATTTTGGGCTGCCAAAAATAATTTGGGTTGCCAAAATATTAATCATTTTTTTTTTTTTGATTCCCACATATATATATAATATACGGTTCAGAAATATAAAGAATATATAATTCTTTTTTTATATAGAAATATATAGAAATATACGGTTAAGAATGTGCATTAAAAAACGAAAATTCTTTTTTTTTTTAAATTTATATAGAAATATAAAGAATATATATTTATAGAAAACAAAAAAAAAAAATTCTCTAATATATATATATATCAAGATAACTAAGAAAAATCAAGAAAAAATATACATGTTATGTTCGTGTCTTTAAGAATGCTTAGTCGATAATGACAAAGAAAATTTAATAAGCCAGCTTCAAAAAATCGGCTGATCAATGATAACTTGATTAAATAGGTAAATTTGGAAGATATAAAGAAACGTGTTTGATTGTAAAAGGGATAATAATGATGATCGAACGTACACTCCAATAACAGAACTGTCCGACTACAAAAATTCCGAGACAAACAAAGGAGCTAAAGAAAGAACTTAGATCTTTAAGTGAATTATAGCATTGGTGGGTAGATGAAATGAAATCACCTCGGTATATTAGCTAAAGTTACAGTACATCAATCAATATTGAAATCTAAAAATAAAGCTAGAGAAACAATCATTGAAGCGATGGCCAGTTGCAAAGAATATTTAAAAGAATACTGGAAGGAACGATGTGAAAAGGTAGCAATATGGGAAGCGGAAAATAATATTACAAATAAACTAAAAGACAAAAAAAAAATGGCGTTTTGGCCATTGGTTCCTGAAGGTATACTCAGGCAGAGTCGGACGATAAAATTTATGTCGGTTTCAATAAATGTAGAATAATTTATCTGTATATGTATATGTAATTAATGTATTAATAAAAGTTTAGACCTTAAAAAAATAGTAAAATCTTTAATAGGAAAAATTTTTTTAAAATAAGAAATATACATTATACATCTCAGTGTGTAATTTTCTATTATACAATTATTATAGGAATTCTAATAGGTTTAATTTAACAAATTTAAATTAAATATTAAAAATTCCTATAATCTACGCTTAAATAAAAATACTTTCAAATTTTACTGAAAAAATTTTTTAAATTTTATCTCTTGATTTCTTACCAATATATTTTGATTTCTTATCTAAAATTCATTCTATTTAATATTTATCATTTTTATTTATTATTATCATTTATTATATTCTATAATATTAGAATAAAGAAATATCTGAAAATATTTACATCACCATATATGTTGTCATTTTTTTCCATCACTTCTACAAATAATAATCCATTTTCTCAGGTTCGACCTTTTGTTTAATAAATTAAATTTAATGAGCCGAACAGCAGATTAATTATTTGTTTATTTGTTTATATTTATCCAGTTTCGTCTTACTAAGAATTTTATGCTTAACAGTTAATAAAAGAACATTTTATTTTTTATTAAACCTAATTTTAATTATTTAAGCGCCAAATTATTATACAACGTGTAAAGTTAAATAAAGTTAACGCCAATAACATTAGTTTAATATATTATTTTAGAATATGCTTGTTAAGATTAAGTGATACAAATCGTATTGAAAACAACGGTTTATATAATATATAAACATCTGAAAATTAGCAATATCTAAAGTTATATTTTTACTAAGGAAAATAAATGTAACAATTTGTCATATATATAAATAAGAGCCGGGTTTCGCAAAATCACACAATATATCATTAAAATTGTAATGATTCAGAAAGATTCATCATAATCCATAGTAAAAGATCATTTTTAAAATTTAAATGATTGGTTGAGAGTTTTATTCTATATCAAGAAGTGGATGGTGGTCTGTATTTGAATGTGGTAGATTAAAAATAGGTGGCATCTAGAGGATTAGTATCTAGAAATTTTTGATTCCGATTAAGAGGCGGAAGAAAATTTTAAGAATTAAAGGTATCTAAAGGGACGTATTTATGATTTGTACTATCTACTTGATTGTTATTGATAAAACAAAGAGAAGGAATCTTCTCTTTGAAACATTTTGTATCGATCCAACACCTTCCGTAACCTCTTTCAAATCAAGGTTTGGAGCAGCCACTGTGACAAAACTATCATAACCGAAAATAGATTGCCGAAGAGGAGTTATACGCAGGTAAATGGGTGTAAATATATTTATCCAGTACATCTGACAATACTTGATTAGCAGGTTGGGAATGATCGTCTTAGGTGCTGACTACAAAACGAGCAATCTTTACTAATTATCTTTGGTTTTCTAATAAAGTGAACGAGGGTATTAAAAAAAAAGAATTGTTTGTGTATTTATCAATGCTACTATAGTAACAATAGCTACTTAATAATAATAAATAATGAATGAATAAATAATAATAAATAATAAAATATGACAAGAAAGAATTAAAAATCAATAATAAATAAGAAAAAAAAACTTCTAACATGCACAAAATCTTTGTAAACTAAAAGAATATTACAACTACAACTATATTTAAGCCTATTAATGCATCTAAAAAAAAATGTTTTAAATCATAATATTTGGAACAGATTATTCTACAATGAAAGAAAATAAAATAACTGGAGGGGACATTCCCACCCTGTAAAAATTAGGTGATCATTTTATTTAAACACTCGATTTTAATTATATTTTCTAAGGACTTAGAGTCTTGAAATATCACCCAAGGGAAATTGCCTCCGGGTTAAAATTAGCAACCTTCTTAAATAAAATATTCCCCTTTAATTGTATACATATATATACATCAAACAGCACTATCCCTTTTTCAAACAGAAACAGAAACAACACAACAATAGTGGTCAAGATCATGTGATTTATTGTTATATCATTTTGGTAAATTGGATCGGCAAGCGTTTTAGAATAACTTGCCAAGCAAAGTGATTAAAATATTATAGATAAATAAACTTAATATGCAGTCAGCTCTTTCGAAAGAATAAATAAGAGTAGCGAATCTCTTAGAACCTGCGTATCGAAGTAACAAAAACATATTTATTTTTTATAATTAATTTTGAGAAGAACGTCACCTTATAGAAATTTATAAATATGTTAAGTGAAGATGAAATTGTAGAAATGCATTTAAAAAATGGACTTAAAAATGGTAATCGAACTTCGAACGCATTTTTGATTTATAGAAAAAATTATGCTCTCCAAAATCCTAAACTTTCAAGGAATGATGTATCAAAACTAGCGAGTGAATCGTGGAAAAGTGTATCAAACGAAATCAAAGACCATTATAAACGTATGGCAGAAAATGTAAAAAAAGAGTTTAAAAAAAGAGTTAATTCTCTTTGTTTTATTCACTGCAATCTAGCTGGTACGAATGATAATGAAACCAACCCTCCTATGCTAACCTCATCAAGCACTACCTGCCATAATCCTTTTCTCGGCCAGACCTCTTCAGGCACTTTCACCTACATTAATCCTTCTCCTTCCAATTTTCCTATTAATATTTATTCTAGTCATCAAATTGTAAATACGAATCCAGATATTATATATTTAAATCCTCCTATAGATCAAAACTTTCTAGACACTACAGACGCCAATTTTCCACCTTCAAACCCTATTTATTCAAGTTATCAATTTGTAAATATGAATCCACCTATAGATCAAAACTTTCTAGGAAATATTTCAGACACTACCTACTATAATCCTCAATTTATAAATATGGATCAAAACTTTCTAGACACTACAGACGTCAATTTTCCACCTTCAAACCCTATTTATTCTAGTCATCAATTTGTAAATATGAATCAAAATTCTCCAGATATTACCTGCTTATTTCCTCCTATAGACCAAAACTTTCTGGGAATTACTTGCCCTGATTCTCTGAATATAAACAAAAATACTTCGGACACTACCTTCTATAATCCTACATTTATAAATATGAACGAAAACCCTCTCTGTGACAACTACTTTAATTCCAGACTTTCGAATATGAACCAAAACCCTCTTGATACCAATTATTCAGATCATCTAATACTGGATATAGATCAAAATGATCATTTATGAATTATTATAATTATCATTCTGAAGATTTTCTTTAACCAGTCATTTTGATTATTCAATTGTACGATTTACATTTATTTTCAAAACATTTATACTCACACCGTAACGAATTTGGTGTCTGGTACTTCAAATTGGTACGAAGATTATAGTGCTATACTGAATAATAATTAGCAATAAACAACAGAAATTAAATAAATATGTGAGCGAGGAAATATGAAGGTTTGAAACCCATAAGGAATTGACCTTTTATTTTTTAACATATTTCCGATCCAATATTGACCCATGCATAAGTTCAGCCACATTTTTCGGATAAATTCCTGATGTAGAATGAAATCATTGTTTTCCTAATAAATAAGATAAATATAAATCTAGATGTTAACACAACATAACTAGTATAACAACATAACTAGTATAGAGTTCGATATATAAGTTCGAGGATTGACAAGTTAAAATTTTAAAATAACAGCATATAATGGCATCTAGAGAAATTTTGTTCATAGGAGGATTGGTTTCTAGAGATATGTTATTATCGTTTGTGAACTCGAATAAGAATAATTTCTTTAAAATCTTATATTTTAAATTATTATTTTGTATTTATATCTTTATGTTATATGAACTTTTAATTGAGATGCATTCAGCGCCACATAAATTAAATGTAATCGTTTATAATAAACCATTGCACATGTCACATAAAAATTATAAATGTTCTAATTCAAAATATGAAACATTTGTATATTTATTAAATTCATTTATTTTCGATATTTTTGAGAATATCGATAATTTGACAATTTTGCAATGCGAAGATAACAACCGTTTGATGATAACAACAATTCCGATAATTCCTACAATTATGCAAAAAAGAAATATTTTCACGATGCAACGTATTATAAGTTTACTTTTTTCATTACTTCTCATTTTTATCACATGACAAAAATATATTGCATGTGTTACTTCTCGTCTTGCATGTTTTTACATAATGATTGTTATATTAATGGTTCTTTAACAAAGAATTGCATACATACAGCAATATTGATTGCAAAATTGGATAAACAAATTTGGGATTAATAAGAAAAATAAAGTGATCGAGCAAATGACTCGTATAAAATTATATTCTTTCGCAAAGATGCAAATAAAATTTACAATGATGAATATTTGATATATGAGAAGGGATGTTTCACCTTGTGACAATCTTTAATATTATGAATATCTTTCGAATGTATGTATTAATTGCATTATTTATTATTGCACTATTAGATGATATTAATTATTAATGATTTTGTTGAAATAAGTAATTTTTCCATAAATGAATATTATTTAATGATGCCCTTTTAAATATTTTGATAATTGTATATAATAAAAAAATAAATCCGCATAAAGAAACAATGGTCAGTCACAATCATAAATTAAAATTTATGAAAGTATCACATGATTAAATTTAACCAAGATATTATAAGCACGTGTATTTATCTACGAAATCAAAATTTAAGCAGCAACAAAAATAGTAGCATTTTGTAAAGTTGCACACGATTTTATTAGTCGCAAATTTTCTCATTATTAAAGGTTTAATTTCTTCAATACTTTCCACTTTCTAATCATTCTTTTAAAGGTGACGATAGAATTTTTATTTTATATTTCCAATTATTTCATTTCATATATTCTCTTGATCTAAATGATCTAAATGCAATTTTATATTTGGATACTCTATTGTTACAGCTATGATTAAATGATACAATGTTTATCAGCTGTGATTAGAATTATAAAAGATATTTTAATAATCTATTTTAATAATCTTATTTTAAAATAATAAAATTATGTACATTTTTTCTTGCCATCAATTATCTGATGACATTCTTTTCATGTACTTGAAAGGGTTATTGTCATACCAACAAAAATTCGGCTTTTGTGGTGGCTGACTCTAAATGACATAAATTAATTATATTAATTTAGTAAGTGTGTTTTGTTACTCATTTCTATTTGTTTATCCATTTATTCACTACTCCATTTATCATTTAACCATTTCCTTTCAAAAAGAACAAGTATTAAGTCTGCACAATATTATATGAAATTTTTTTGTTACGAACCTTGTACACATCCATAATATGCTTTGAGGATTATTGTGATCCTTCCTTGCAGCTGAATCATTAACAACTTCCAAACTGAAATATAGTTTTTGGATCCCTAATCCTTCCATAAATATGCGCCACTGGTAAAAGTAAATAAGAATTTCTAAAATAAAAGTTGGCAAGTTGTTCATTTAATTATTCATTTATCATATAATTCCATTGATGAAGGAAAATACACTTATTTATATTTGTATTGTTATTCGTATTGTTATTCTTATTATAATTTTCAGCTAAAAAAGATGAATTATATGAAGAAATTTTTCTTAATGCTTTTAATTATGTCTACGTTGTCTGATCGTAGGTGTATTATTATTGGTGATGGATTAGAAGATTAGAAGGATTAGAAGAAATTGATCCATTAATATTATTATTATTAACATTTTGCGTTGATATTATGGATTAGACAATTAAAAGAGGTTCTACCAGGTTGACGATCTCCAATCTGACTGAAGTATTGGAATGAGGTTATATCCGTCCCGAACACATTTTACCTTTAAAAAAAAATTTTATATATTGAATTAAAATTATGAACACATTAAAATAAATATATAATATATCTTTACTTTTCTTCGTCTACACCTATCACAAGCTATAGTCTTGAGTTTTTATGTGAAAGTAACATCGAGTTGGCCAGGAAGTCGTTTGTTATCAGCAGAAGACGAACAAGCAATATGTACGAAGGTACGAGTTGGAACGAAAATGGAAAATTAAAATATATTCTAGAATTATGAAAGTACTTGAATTGAAAAAAGAATTTAGATTTTTTTTAAAAAAAAAAAAAAAAAAAAAACAAAATATATGTAGGTTACATCAAATTATTAGTGTAATCGGAAATTTTTCCTAAATTGATATATACGATAAATACGCATTTTATCATTTTATGATTCTATTAATTTATTTCAAGTTTGCTTTTTTGCTTTATTATAAATTAATTTCAATAAAAAAATTTTTTTATTATAATTTTGGAATAATCTTCCTTCTTTCCTTTAAACAAAAATTACAATTTTAATTAAATATGTCACTTAGTATTAATAAAGCAAACATAGTTAAAGTCCCATTTCCACCATCAATTAGCGTAGATGAAATCGTACAAATTCATTTAAAACATGGCATTAAGAACGTTAACAAAACTATGAATGCATTTATGATTTATCGAAAAGAATATAATCGTGTAGTTGCAAAATTTAATCTTTCAAGTAAAGATGTATCTAAATTTGTCAGTATTTCATGGAAAAATGAGCCAAAAAATGTCAAATACCATTACCAACGGATGGCAAAAAATGTAAAAAAATGTTTCAAAAAAAAAGTTCCTCCTCTTTTTTTCGTCAATAGTAATCAAGTAGATAGTACAAATAATCACGTCTCTTTAGTCCCTTTAATCCCTTTAGATACCGTTAATCCTTCACTTAATACGAATCAAAAATTTCTAAATGATCCTCCACAAAACTTTCTAATTTCCACCTATTCTAATATTCCACCTTCAAACGTGGAACATCTACTGCTTAATATAGAACAAACCTCTCTAGATTCCATCGATTTTAATCTTCCACCTTCAAATATGGACCAAAATGTTGACCATCCGCTTCTTGACATAGAACAAAACTCTCAACTAATCGACAATTTCAAAAATGATTTTAATGAATATCTGATTATGGATGAGAACGAATTTATGAACCATCTTTCTGAGGATATGACATTAACTTATAAGGCAATTATTCAATCGTTACCCGTGTGATTTGTATTTTGCGAAACCCAGATATGCATTAAAGAGAATGGTAGTTTATTACAATACGATTTAATTTTCTTTATTACAAATTGTTTTCTAAAAATATTGAAATCGTTGGGAACTCTTGTTAATTTCTTTATTCCATCTGGAGTTTCACGGTGGCAATAAGATCTTTTACATTTATTTCGTACTTGGATTTTTTTAAAAAAATAGAACTTTGGATATATACATTACATGAATATTTTATGTTTAGATAACTTCATATTTATATTTTTTATTCATAATAAATTAAATTATAGAATTTTTATTTATATTTATAAATTAATTTATAGAATTTTTATTTATTTTCATAAATCTATATTTGAGCAAATAAAAAAAAAATATAAACCAATTTTTTATTATTATGATGATTATAAAAATTATGAAATAAATATAATTATAGTTCAATGCTTTTTTTAGAATCAATAAAGTTTCTTCTGTTATAGGAAAATCATGTGAGAAAATAATAAGCGTCGTACTTTTTAATAACGGATTAAAATATAAAACGTATCATTGTTTTTTTAGTAGCGGATTAAAAATATGATTGTTTTGTCTAACAAATATGGTTAGAATATTATTCACGCTGTGCTGACGAAACTGTGTTATTAAGATTTATGAATGTTTATTGTTTTTGACCCAAAAATTGGTATAGAGATATTCATATAATGTTCTGTATATAATATTGTATCATATAGAGATGTTCATATAATGTTCTGCATATATATGTCTGAAAATTTACATTACCTAAAATTATTATTCAATAAAGAAAACAATAAGGTACATTTTATACTATCCTCTTTAATATAAGAACAATGACACCAATGAAAAAATTATATTATTATATGTAATTAAATAACTAGCATAGATATAAAGTCGGGATTTCGCAAAATATAAATCGCCGATTATATCATTTAAACTGGTAACGATTGAATAATTTCCTTATAAGTTAATGCCACATCTTCAGAAAGATGATTCATAAATTCCTCCTCATCCATAGTCAGATATGCATTAAGATCATTTTTAAAATTGTCATATAAGATTGGTCGAGAGTTTTGTTCTATATTAAGAAATGGATGGTCCGTATTTGAAGATGGAAGATTAAAATGGGTGGAATTTAGATAGTTTTGTTCCATATTAAGAAGTGGATTGTAAGCGTTTTGGTCCGCGTTTGAAGATGGTAGATTAAAATAGGTAGAAATTAGAAAGTTTTGTGGAGGATCATTTAGAAATTTTAGATTCTGTGGAGGATAGTTTTGATTCATATTAAGAAGTGAAGGATTAACTGTACCTAACGGGACGTGATTATCATTTGTACTATCTACTTGATTGCTATTGATAAAACAAAGAGAAGGAACCTTTTCTTTGAACCATTTTTTTACATTTTTTGCTATCTGCTGGTAATGGTCTTTGACATTATCTGGTTCATTTTTCCATGAAGTTTTAGCAAATTTGGATACATCTTTACTTGAAAGATTCAACTTTGCAACTACGCGATTATATTCTTTTCGATAAATCATGAATGCATTTAGAGTTTGATTAACATTCTTAATACCATTTTTTAAATGAATTTTTACGATTTCATCTACACTAATGGTTGGGGGAAATGGGACTTTTACTATGTTTACAGTATTTCGATAGTTAATAGAAAGAGACATATTTAAATAAGAATCCTTTTTGTTCGTTATTTATTTTAAAAAAAAATTTTCACTAAATTATAATAAGTTAATTTAATTAATAAATTTAAAATTATAATTATTATTTTGGTTCGAAGAGGAGAGCCTGAATTGCGAAATTCAAAATTCAACATATTTATAATTAAATAACAAATCAAGAAAATATATTATTTACTTTAAAGCGATTAATCGAATTAATCGCAACATAAATAATATTAAATATAATTAATAAAACGATTAATTGGGTTAACTGATTAAATGTTATTACTTTTAAGCGATTAATCGAATTAATCGTGTTATTACTTTTAACAATTAATTGGATTAACTGTACTGTTATTATTTATGTTGTTTGCGACATTAAATCGTCACAATAATTACAAAATCATACTTTTAATTCATTTAACTTTGAATTGAGTGATTTCTTTTTCTCCATTCTTATGAGAAATTTTATAATTGTTCTTAAATATTGTTTGCATTTAAGTTCGCATTTTCTTTAAGTCAGTTTAAGTCAGATTTCCTTTATACTTATTTTACTTATTAAACTCTATCAATATTTTATATATTAACATATTTAAATAATATATTTTAAATTAAATATCAGTATATTCAAATGGGTTTGCCGCGATTAATGCTTTATTTTTACGAATAATAAATATTTGTATTTTTTTTAATAAATAATAAAAATTTTTATTTCTTTACAATGAATAACTCTTTAATATCTAGTAATATAAATGAAAATAATACAACAGACCCTTTTTTATTTCAAGAAAAAGTTTTTGATAGTTGACAAAAGCTTTTGGTATAATTGGAGAATTGGCAAAACAACAAGGATTTAGAATCAAATATAATCGTGTTGAAAAAAAAAGTACTGTGGAGTGTGAACATTAGGGTAAATATATAAAAAATCTCATAATTGCAAACAACAACAAAAAGTATGTAATGAGTTTAATAAAAAGGGTTGAAATGGTTTCGAATAAAAGAAGAATAATATTAAAGATATTAAAGGGCTTTCACTCTTTGTGCTAAATCTATATATTCGGATTTTTCTTGACTTGTAGAATTTTTCCACAAGTAATTCGCTGCACCATCGATTATCATTTTACTAATCTTCGGCATTCTTTTGCAACTGAAATTCTGAACAACATACAATGTGTTAAGAAAAAAATGGCAAAGATTTTTCATGTGATTGATACCAGTGTAACATGTTCCGTTTTGATTGGACCTTCGTGCTATTTAATCACAAGGTATTACAATGCGTGTTTATATTTTGTGCTATATTCCCACCTTCTTTCAATTGATTTTTCGCCCGATGTAAAGCTTTAAATTGTCGTCGCCTACAAAACAAACCCAACGCGAAGTTATTTTGTATCTGTGTAACGAAGGAGTACGCTCCGCCAAAGAAATACACACCAGAACAAACATCCCACTCAGGACAGTGTATAACAATATTAAAAAAATCAAAAAAACTGGGACAGTAGACCATGCAGGAGGCAACGGTCGGTCAAAAAAAAAAACTACTGAAATTGTTGGCCGAGCTATTGGTCAGTATATTCGTCATAACCCTTCTATTTCAACAAGAGCTATAGCAACGAAATTGGCAAGAATGGAGATCAATATCTCTCATGTCACTATTTCGAAGTACCTGGCTGGCGCTGGTTACGAAAATGACACCTATGCTAACGGACAAGCATAAGCAAGCACGCATGGAATGGGCACGAAAATACCTCAACAATGATTGGGAATAAACTTTTTTTTGGATGAGACGGCCTTTCAGCATTTTCGGAATACGATTAAATATAGGCATAAGGGATCACGACCAGTTCGTCGCATACCTAAAGACCGTACGAAAATTAAAGCATGGGGCGGATTCTGTGCAACGGATAAATCAAGCTTGTATTGTTTTACGGAGATAATGAATGCAGAATTTTATGTTGGTATTCTTCGTGAAAACATTCCGGAAGTAAAGGCAATGCTTGGTGACGAATTTCAGTGGCAACAAGATAACGACCCGAAGCATACGAGTCGTCTCGACATGGGTTTTCTTCGAGAAAATGTTCCTGTGGTTATGGATCCCTTCTTCAGTTGATAATAATATCGGAAGAATTAATGTTCTGTTTATATTAGCGAGGAGGTCATTTAAGTTGTTCATTTCGATATTTCTTCATGAAATAATTTTGTTGAAAAAAATAAATAAGAGATCGTAGGTCTTATGATTTTAAATATTGAATTATGAATAGACGTAAAGAATGCAGAAAATTTCTTAGAAGTTTTTTTCATCATTTAAATATATTTTTTCGAAACTACATTTTTAATCAAACCGTATTTTAAGGATAATAATAAATTCTTAATTCGGATCGAAATAAATAATTAATAAATAAACCATAAGCATATTTATCGTATGTCATATCATTTATCTTTTGAGAAGGATAATGATAATAAATAATACGAACGATATGAAGGATATGAGTAATAAAAATGAAATATGTACATGTACGCACTATATTATAAACGAATTAAATTAGAATGATCGATTTGTAAAATGATCACTTGAAAGAAAAGAGAGATAAGACAAGTAATTATTTTTATTAATTTGATTTTAGATTTAGATCTTGGATACTATTTATATTAATTAACAAATTATTATCATTATTATAATTATTATTATTTGCAATTATGGAAAAATTATTAAAAAAATAAGAATAATCATTCAGTATAACAAAACAATAATGAGGAAGGAAGGAAAAACACAGTATCGAAAGCTAGGAATCATAATCACAATAATAAATCATCTATATGGGAATAATTAGCATAAACAATAATAATAATCGAAATCTAAATTTATTTTTTATTTTCATAAAGATTATAAAATATAAACGATAATAATATTTTCTTATTAAATAATATTTTATTTAAATTTAGCATACCCTTATGAATTTAGAAATGGAATCACGTTCACGTCAGTCACATTTACTTTAATCTGTAAAATGAATGTTTGGACGCATTAAGAAAAACTTAAACGTTGTTGGAAAAAAAAATAGAGACATATCAAATAACAGTTTTAATGAAATTTGTAATACATTAATTAACCTTTGTCCAATTTAACTCAATTAACTTTATTTTTATCTCCTCCTTCTACCACAATTTCTTCCTCTATTAGTAAATTCACCAAGCACTATTTACAGTATTCTATTCATCAAATTTGTGTGACATGATTGTGGTAAAAATAGAGATTAACTAAATTTTTAAAGATAATAATAAAACTAGTAAAGAAGAATTATTTCGAAAAGATGGACTTTTACTACGCTTGATGTATCTTTATTAAGTGATGATATATTAATTAAAATGTATTTCTTGTTTGTCGAAGAGGATTATTTACATCATAATAAATTAATTTATTAAAAAATAATATAAGATATGAGAATGAAATGGTTTGGTTATTCAATATTCAAGAGTCAACGTATTTATGTATACTTATTTATATTTAAAAAAGAAAGAAATTTTCTGCTTGATTCAGGTTGTTTTTTTTTGTGCCTATTATTAATTAATGTCGATTTAGATAATTAAATTCTTAAAAGTAATATATTGTATATTTATGCATTCGTTTAATGCGTAACAAAAAATGCACTCTTTTTAACTTATACAAAAAGTTAATGCCAATCATCATTGTTTGACAAAATAAATAATATATTTATTTAGATTATGCAAATTATTTGCTGTGGGAGTAAAATGCACAATGATACGATCAAAAAACAAGTTTTAAATTGGCTTTCTCAATTATGTATCCTATTCTTCAACAATTTGAATGGCTGATTTTTTTTTAAACTCGAATATTGATCCTCACGATATTTTCCTATAGTTAATGCTATATTTTTTTTTCGTATTTTAATTATGTCTTCACGGTGGTGTGCGACATAACTCCAACACTAACTTTAATTCCTTTAATATGTGACAAAGACATATTTTGGTTATTTACCCGTGGTGTTATTAGGAAATTACGTAAGGTCTTAAAACGGTTCAATATTTAAATTAATATAAATTTTTTAATCTTACAAAAATTTTTAATGTATCAACTTTCTGTCATTCCAATTTTTTTTGTTTTAGTTCACAATAATAATGTCATTACAGAAAGAGGAAATTATATGGGCATATCTTAAAATAGGTTTCTTCTTGTCTTTTCTTTTTGACAAAAACAAAATTTTATAAACCGCAAATCATCACTCAATAAAAAAATTTTATTTATTATAATTATTATTTGTTGTAGATCCTCAATTGTGATTGGCTTATTTTAAAGATAAAATTATAAAAACATAAAAAAACTCAAAACCTTATTATGTTAACTACCTTTTAGCTTCTAACAAAACATTGGTAACATGAAATTTTACATATATTCGCTTATTTTTATGACAGGTTATTATATAAATAGAAACTTTAAACCCGAAAAACGTCCTGTCTATACAACCGTCTAGTCCATCATCCCGACATCTAACCCATCGTTCAAACCCCAACTCATTTTATTTCATATTCTATTGCACAATAAAGTTGTTTTATTACGTATTTTTATGTTTTTCATTTAGTTTTGATATTAAAGAACAACTTTAATTAATAGAAATAATAAATTAATAAACATGTTATTTTATAAAACAAAGTCCTGAAATTTGTTTAACAAATTATTAGTTGATGAATCATAATGCGTAAATAACCTTCCTTCTTTCCTTGAACAAAAATTACAATTTTAATTGAATATATCTCTTTCCATTAACTACCGAAATAATGCAAACATAGTAAATGTCCCATTTCTCCAACTATTAGTATAGATGAAATCATAAATATTCATTTAAAAAATGACATTAAGAATGTTAATGAAACCATGAATGCATTCATGATTTATCGAAAAGAATGTAATCACATAGTTGCGAAATTTAATCATTCAAGTAAAGATGTATCCAAATTTGTCAGCATTTCGTGGAAAAATGAGTCAGAAGATGTCAAAGACTATTACCGAAAGATGGCAAAAAATGTAAAAAAATGTTTCAAAGAAAAGGTTCCTTCTCTTTATTTTATCATAGTAATCAAGTAGATAGTACGAATTAATACGACTTAATACGAATTAATACGAATTAATACGAATTAAAACCCTACGTGCCGCCCAAATTCGAAAAAGGAAATATTAACAATGGGTTGGCAAAATTTTATTGTTAATTTTTCCTTTTTTGAATTTGGCGGCATGTAGGATCAAAACTTAAAACTTGATATGGAACAAGACTATCTAGATTCCACCTTTCATCTTCAAATACGCTGACCATCCATTTCTTAATATAGAGCAAAACTCAACCAATCAAATGAATGGACGAATTTATGAAGATGTGGGCTTAACTTATAAGGCAATCATTCATTTACTGATATAGCCGAGTGATTTGTATTCGAGTCTCGCATTAAAGAGAATGGTCGTTTATTACAATACGTTTTAATTTCCTTTATTACAAATTGTTTTCTAAAAATAATGAAAGCGTTGGACGCTCTTGTTGTTAATTTCTTTATTCCATCTGGAGGTTCACGGTGGAAAATAAGATCTTTACATTTATTCCGTACTTGAATTTTTTTTTTAAAAAAAATAGAACTTTGGATATATACATTACATGAATATTTTATGTTTAAAGATTAGGATAACTTCATATTTATATTTTTTATTCATAATAAATTAAATTATAGAATTTTTATTTATTTTCATAAATTAAATTATAAAATTTCATTTATTTTCATAAATCTATATTTGAGCAAATAAAAAAAAATTAAAAACCAATTTTTTTATTATTATTATGATTATAATAATTATGAAATTAATATAATTATAGTTCAATGCATTTTTTAGAATCAATAAAGTGATCTTCTATTATAGGAAAATCATGTAAGAAAATAATAAGCGTCATATTTTTAGTAGCGGATGAAAATATAATACGTTATCATTGTTTTTTAGTAGCGGATTAAAATATAAATTGTTTTGTCTGACAAATATGGTTAGAATATTATTCACGCTGTGCTGACGAGACTGTGTTAATAATAAATCCCGACGTTTATTGTTTCTAACTCAAAAATTGACATAAAGTCGGGTTTCGCAAAATATAAATCGCATTTAAACCGGTAACGATTGAATAATTGCCTTATAAGTTATTGCCCCATCTTCAGAAAGATGGTTCATAAATTCGTCGTCATCCATTGTCATATATTCATATTCACGAAGATCATTTTTGAAATTGTCGATTAGTTGAGAGTTTTGCTCCATAAGAAATGGATGGTCAGCGTTTTGGCCCGTATTTGAAGATGGAAGATAAAAATAGGTGGAATTTAGATAGTTTTGTTCCATATTAAGAAGTGGATGGTAAGCGTTTTTGTCAGCGTTTTGGTCCGCGTTTGAAGGTGGTAGATTAATTAGACAGTTTTGTGGAGGATCGTTTAGAAATTTTTGATTCTGATTAAGAGATGGAGGATAGTTTTGATTCGTATTAAGAAGTGAAGGATTAACTGTACCTAACGGGACGTGATTATCATTTGCACTATCTACTTGATTACTATTGATAAAACAAAGAGAAGGAACTTTTTTTTTGAAACATTTTTTTACATTTTTTGCCATCTGTTGGTAACAGCCTTTAACATTTACTGGCTCATTTTTCCATGAAATGCTGACAAATTTAGATACATCTTTACTTGAAAGATTAAATTTTGCAACTACGCGATTATATTCTTTTCGATAAATCATGAATGCATTTAGAGTTTGATTAACATTCTTAATACCATTTTTTAAATGAATTTTTACGATTTCATCTACACTAATGGTTGGGGGAAATGGGACTTTTACTATGTTTACAGTATTTCGATAATTAATAGAAAGAGACATATTTAAATAATAACTCTTTTGTTCTTTATTTATTAAAAAAAATTTTTTCACTAAATTATAATAAGTTAATTTATTTAATAAATTTAAAATTATTATTATTTGGGTTCAAAGAGGAGATCAAGATTTATATTTATTTATAATTAAAAAAAAGAAATTTTCTGCTTGCTTTAGGTTTATTATAAATTAATGTCAATATTTGTGTGCGTGCGTAACAAGAGTTAAGGCTGAACTAGTTATTGTAAATCATTCCAGATTTGACCGGAAATGACGTAATGATAAATTTCAGTATCACAAATACGAGTATTTCCCGATGTTACACTTAGAGAAGAAGGGACGTGAATATTCTTGAACTTCTTTAATATTTAATAATATTTAAATACCTCACTCTTTTTTTAGCAATAATAAATTTGATTGATGCGATTGAAATTTTTTTTATTTGTCGAACAATGGCTTTGGGAACACCTGCTATTGACAGCATGATTAGAATCGAATGGATTATAAATCGCCAAAGAAGCATCATGGAATCGGTTAAAAATAACCAATTATTTTTTGATCTAACTTTTTTCTGCAAACAATGTAATCGTAGATATAAAGTCGGAGTTTCGCAAAATATAAAACGACAATTATATCATTTATAATGGTAACGATTGAATGATTGCCTTATAAGTTAATGTCACATCTTCAGAAAGATGGTTCATAAATCCATAGCCTTATATTCACGAAGATCATTTTTGAAATTGTCGATTGGTTGAGAGTTTTAATAAATGGATGGTCAACATTTTGGTCCGTATTTGAAGGTAGTAGATTAAAATAAGTGGAAATTAGAAAGTTTTGTGAAGGATCATTTAGGAATTTTTGATTCTGTTAAGAGATGGAGGATAGTTTTGATTCGTATTAAGAAGTGAAGGATTAACTGTACGTGATTATCATTTGTATTATCTATTTGATTGCTATTGATAAAACAAAGAGAAGGAACCTTTTCTTTGAAACAATTTTTTATATTTTCTGCTATCAGTCGGTAATAGTCTTTGACATTATCTGGTTCACTTTTCCATGAAGTTTTAGCAAATTTGGATACATCTTTACTTGAAAGATTCAACTTTGCAACCACATGATTATATTCTTTTCGATAAATCATGAATGCTGCTATTGCAGCGGTCAAAAAAAGTAAAGAAGATTATGTACGAGAATTAAACCCAAACCGTTTCGCTATCAGAGATTCTATATTTAAAACATCATTTTCTGGGCTTTCTAAAAGTCTTTCAAGCAAAAAGGATATCGTGGACATCAATTCAGAACAAAGTATATTTAAGGTTGGACGTACAACCGGATTGACCAAAGGGAATAATAAAGAAGTACCGGTGACAATTATACATAAATTTTTATCATATCAAGAGGGGATTCTTCATTGTGCAATTATAGATGCGATCAAGATCCAAATGAGAAAATTTTTTCCTCTATGCGCTTAAATAGATAAATATTAATACGATCAAAGAAAGGGCTTTGATGGATAATGGTGATTCAGGTTGTGTGTGGTTTAATAGTGATGGATCAGTGATAGCTTTAGGTCATGGAACATTATGTGTAGGTGAAGAATATTCTGTAGGATCACCAATAAGTGTAGTTTTAAACGCTCTCTCTTCCCCCGAAACTCCTAATCTTGAACTTTACTTGAAACAGGATTAGTGGCATGTAAAAATGATGAAACACTTTTTTTCTTTAAATTTATGTATTTTTTTAAGAAAAATTTAAGATATTAAAAAAAATGCGAGATTGAATTTTCATATTGCATATTCGTTCGAGTAATATAAAAAACTAATTTCACGAATTATTTGAAAAAAACAACATACATCATAACAAGAAACTTTTTTAAAAATCGATTTTTTATAATTATATTGATGCTTATACTACATATATTAAATACTAGTGCTTGAATCCGATCATTAACTAAACCATTAACTTAATCGACCTCAAATTTTTTAAAAAAAAATGTGATACTCATAACTTTATTAATATGTGTAAATTATTTTTACTACAAAGTACAATTCGATCAGAATCTGCAATCAAGATTTTTTATTAATATATTTATTTTTATGTGACTGAGACACTCGCACCCTGATTCAACCATTACCTGTGAAATTCGATGATCGTGTGGGAATGATGAAACTTCACTTCGTTGACCAGATATCGGCGATCAATATTACTTGATTGCTATTGATAAAACAAAGAGAAGGAACCTTTTCTTTGAAACATTTTTTTTTACATTTTTTGCCATCTGCCGGTAATGGTCTTTGACATTATTTGGCTCATTTTTCCATGAATTTTTAACAAACTTGGATACATCTTTACTTGAAAGATTCAACTTTGCAACTACACGATTATGTTTTTTTCGATAAATCATGAATGCATTTAGAGTTTGATTAACATTCTTAATATCATTTTTTAAATGAATTTTTACGATTTCATCTACACCAATGGTTGGAGGAAATGGGACTTTTACTATGTTTACAGTATTTCGGTAGTTAATGGAAAGAGACATATTTAAATAAGAACTATTTTTGTTCGTAAAATTTTTTTCACTAAATTACAATAAGCTAATTTAATTAATAAATTTAAAATTATATGTGATTTTTATTTATTATAATTATTATTCAGGTTCAAAGAGGAGAGCCAGAATTGCGAAATTCAAAAATTTGACGTATTTATAATTAAATAACAAATCAAGAAAATATATCAATCGTAATCCGTATAAAGAATATTTATTAAAAGTAACATATTGTGGTGACGACGAAGGATTGGTAGGATGGCAGTGCAGAAAACATGTGGTGTGGGAACACAAATGATGGAAAAGATGGAGTTATACAATGATGGAAATGATGGAGTTGTACAATGATGGAAATGATGGAAATGATGGAGAGAGAAATGATGAGAGAGAAATATAAAAGTAGCGGTAGCAGGAGTGAGAAAGAGGGGTTCCTTTGGACGGCATATTTTAAGATAGCAACATTTGATATTTTATCTTTTTTTATTTTTATTTTATTTTATCCTATTTTATTAAATAATTATAACAACGTTTATAATAATATTCGTGTAAATAGTAGAAGTAGTAACAGAATAGAAACACGCCATTGTAATATTTTGTTGCCTAACTTCTAATAAAACTTTCTTTTGGTTGTTCATCTCTTATAAATTTGTTCTAGCATCGATAGTATATATAGGGAAAACTACCTCTACTTCACTTGCTCGCGTACCTCCCAGATAATACTCACGATTTTATAGTCGTTATTTAAGTTGTCACACTGTATAGCGATACACGAAGAAGTGGCTATTATTGTGACTACGAACTTGATTTGTTGTGTAACCCTGTTGTGTGCTGTCCAGACGTGACAATTATAATATCGACATAACAGATTGGAAACTTAACCAATTATGGGATTCAAATTGGATCAACCCAATTGAGTAATAAATGTCTATCTGCTGTTACTTTTTACTTGTGCATACATATAAAAAATACATTAGTTTTATAGAATATCAGAAATATGAATAATGGCGGTTGGGCGGTGTGATTTGTTTAATGATTGTAATAATAAATTATTATAACTGACAAGTTAATTCGGAATATTTATTAAGAATAAAAGTAACATATAATCATCGATCACTTGTACCAAATTTTCCCACATAACAGATAAAGATAATGACTTTCTAATGAACAAAAGTCTGCTATTTCTTCCTGGGTTCTTGAACACCTTATGCATATGGAGACTTACGAGAAGAAGACATTCCTACATTACTATTTTTCAAAAACACCAACACTAACAAAATAATCACTAGGAAATGGGAATTGTGAGTCCGGAGAAAATGTCTCGCTTATAATATTTTTTTAATATTTTTGATTCGGACGTGATAAAATTCGTATACATGAGACAATAAAATACACAATTTCCATTGGTTAAATTATCATGCGACCACCAAATGCTTTCCAAAAATATATTAAATTTTTGTTATACCTCACAAGCGAAAAAATGAATTCATTTTAACAAAATAAATTATTTTGTATTTAAAAAAAGTACCGTTATACTTTAACGTGTAATGATTGAATAATTGTTCTCTTAAAGATAAACTCATCATCATTATGGTCACATGAGATTTTTTAAGATTATTAGATACATATTCAATAGTGTTTTGGTATAGGGTAACGTCTGGGTTGATCAATATTCACAAAGTTGATGATTAGAATAAATAGTGCTTGTTGAATTTACTAATTGATAGAGGAAATGGACTTTTACCATGTTTGCGATATTTTTGTGATTGATGACAATTAAAAATGCATTTGAGAATTATTTATATCATAATAAATTAATTTATGAAATAACAATTTATATTTAAAAAATTAAAATAACAAAAATAATATAAGATATGTGAATTAAATGTCTGGCTATTTAATATACTTTATTACTTGAATTCAAAGGGAAGAATTTATTTGGTAGTGAAGTAACAACTCCTAATCATCTACTATATATATATATATAACTATCTTCTTTTACTACGGTAACGGAGTGAGAGCTACAAAATTCAAGAGCTCGATGTATTTATACTTATTTATACTTAAAAAAAATTTTCAGGTCGTTTTTTTGTGTTTAATGTAATTTAGATTCTTAAAATTGTATATATTGTGTATTTTGTGCATTCGTTTAATGCATGCGCAAAAAACAATGCTCACATTCGATCATAAATATATTATTTAAACAATGAACTGAACAAAAAGATTTTATATTATTTGTTATTACAATATTATTTCATCTAGGATACATATTAATTAATTTTAGAATCCAATTGGACCTTAATTATAGTTTCAAGAAAGAGTATTTATTTTGAAAGCAATAGAATTGGAAAAAATAAATTAATTAATAATTAATAATTTATAATACTTTATTGAATATTTCAACATTTCAATTTCGGTAAAAAAATCCAATAAATGATTTTATTTGTCAACAATCAAAAACAAACATTATATAATGTATATAATAATTTATATTAAATTCTATATTATCCATTAAAAAATTTTTATGCAAATATAAAAATTTTTGATAGTTACAATTATAAGTTTAATAACTTTAATAAGATGAAATAATAAACTCCTTATAATCTACGCTTAAAAAAAAAATTTTACTGAAATTTTTTTTTTTTTTGGATTTTATATCTTTATTTCTCAATATTGTATTTAAAAATTGCATATGAACAATGATTTTTTATTAATATTAAAATATCAATCATTATTATTAGTTATTATATTATAAAAGAAAGAAATATTTGAAAATATTTGCAAATTAAACTTATGTTGTTTCCATCATCTCTCTTATGCGATTTCCTACAGGTTTGTCCTTTTATTTTAATAAAATAAGTTGAACCATATTTTTCTCGGTATATTAACTATTTTGTTTATTTGTTTATATTTATCCGGTCATTGTATGCTTTTGATTATTAAGAATTTTATGCTTAATAAAAAGAAGATTCTATTATTATTAAACTAATTTTATATTGATTATTTACGTTCTCAATAATGAATAAAGTTAGAATATGTATGCGGATACCATGCTGTGCTGATGCTGATGGTACAAAAGGAAAATCGTATGTACAATAATTTAAAAGTAACGAAATACATTTCGTAATCAGCATCTATTTGTAATCAACCTAACATAAAATAAGTTTTTTTTTTTTTTTTTTGTTCGAGGAGGAGGAATATTGATATAATTGTTTTTATCACTAAATTATAATATAAATATATGAAAAATACAAACAATTGACTCGAAACTGTGAATCTCTTTCATTTATTGATTAATGCTTTATTCTTACAGAGAAATCTGTGATTTTCAAATTCGAAAGTTTTTATTTTATTTTTTTAATGTTACTTTGTAATGCCATATTTTTTTAATGGAAATGACAAAATGTTATTTATTTTTATATTTCAGGTTATATGAAATGCGTAATCAATGATTTAATTAATTTAACGTAAACACAATTTATCACAATTGAAAGTCTAATGTATGTGATCCTAAAAAATGATGAAATGGTGAATTTTATATTTGCAGTTTATACTTATATATTATCTTTACACAATGATATAAAATTATATATAGAATTATAAATATGTTATTATTAAAATATTTGAGAAACTTTGCTATAAATTCTAACCTAACCTATCTAATATTTGCCCAGATTAAGGTTGTTGGGTGAAACCCCTAGAGTTTAGCAAACCGGAAAATGACGAAAGGGTAAAACCTTTCGAAACCTTATAAAACACTTATTAATAAAACTTGAAAATCTGTCATATGTCAAAACTATAGTAAACTCGAAACTATTATAATAAAAAATTTGGAAAACTATAGGTTTTTCGTTCTACCAAATTGAAAATAGGTTTAAGCAAGCAACCTTAGCTCAGATATATAAAATATCGTTAATAACAATTAAGTAGATATCTATTTTCAGAATTTTTAATATAAAAATTTATTCAGAAATCTTTTTATCAAATATTTTGTTTACCTGCTATTTAATACAACTGGATCAATAATAAAACATGTAAAATACTTCACAATTATAAATTCCCAAAATTTTATTCAATAAATTAATATATATTAAATGAATTTTTCGGTATCTGCTGTTTTAAAAATAAATTTGATATTAGAATAATAATAAAAGTTGTAATCGACCTTCGGAACTTTCAGTAGCGTTAATGCCCATTAATTTTTCAAGTTTTCAGATTATAACATTAATTTCTTGCTAGGCAAATAATCGACGAGAAATATTTTTAATAATATTTTTAGGAGAGGGAACTGATCGAGTTACCCTTTGAAATACGGTATTTTTTCAATTTTGTAGAATAAAATCTATGAAATCATTGTTTGCCTGACAAATAAGGATACATATAAAATTTAAAATAATAGAATATATAAAAATTTAAAATGATAAAAATAACTAGTTCAATTAAAATCGTGTTTCTTGTTTGAAGAGGAGGATTAATTATATTATAATAAATATATGTGAATAAATGGCTTGGTTTATTTAATATTCTTTATCACATATATATAGGGACGTAACCTCTTTGATGTATTAAAAAAATAATATTAAACTGACATAAATCTTCGTGTAATAAGCATAAAAAATAATGTACCATAATAAAATGTTTATTGTATACTTTAATGAAATGAAGTTTAACTGTATGATAAAAATCGTATAGAATAAAATGAATGATTATAATAACTTTATAAAGTAGATTATTTAAATATATACTGTATATATATCTATTAGTGAATTTATATAGGGGTCCCGTTATGTGAATTAAAAGAAAAATTAGTGAATTTATATTTTTAAATTAAAAAAGTTAACACATTCTTTGATACCCTAAATTTTACTTTGAATTTTATTTGATTTCTTATCAATATAATTTTATAACGGTTACAATTTGAACAATAATCTTTTTGATGATGCGATTTTACCTTATGATTTCTTTTTTATTTATTTATAATTGAAAATTTAATATCTAGAGTATCTCGTTGTCATCATCACTATTATAAATTTTTATTATTTATTGTTATTTAATATATATCTATTTCATGTGAGCTTTTCTCTTTAACTTACACACAGATCAAAAACATTTTTAAATATATTATTTATATTATGCAAATTCCTTGGCTATGGTACAGACGATAAAATACACAATGATACGGTTTAACAAGTTTTAAATTGGGTTTTCTCATTTTGACCCAATTATATATTCCAATATTCAATTGTTAATTACAAAGAAACATCGTTTAATAAAAATTACCAATTCTTTCGTAGTCGTAGACGCAAGGCTCGAGGATATGATCAATGATTTACGTATAATGACATTTTAATTACGTGCGGCCACAAATAATTTTTCACGAAAAATTACATCCCAAAGCTACATGGTCTTGTCTGGATTTAATATAAAAACTTTGTTTAGGTACTTTTTCAAAAATATATTTTGATTTTTGTGTCTATTTGACGAAGGATATCATCATAATTTTAAACAACAAGATAACAAGAAATTTAAAATAAACTTGCCCAAAGAGTTTGGTTCATTCCCTTTGGATTTCTTCTAAGTGTTTGAACGATTTACCGAGACCGTATATATAAAAGGATTATTAGGTAACTAATATTAAGTCTATAAGTTGATAATAATAAAAAAAAAACAAAAAAAATAACATATTTGAATCTAGAAATTTATTAATAACCTCAAATATAATTGTTCGTCAAATACAAGAAAATCCATTCTTAACAACTTTGTATTTATGATTTGTTCTCCTGGTAAATTTGAATGAATTATCTCTATAAGGAAAGTGATATAGAGGTTCATTTTCATTGTTTCAGACTGCGGAATCGGTACGACATCTTCGGATATTTCGAATCTTAAATTCGCAGGGTCAAAAATCTTTACGCGTAAACGATGAATTGTTTGATACTAAAAAATATTAATATTATTTTATCAGTACAGCGTGTTAATGGAAGAATTTTATACAATGAATAATTTCTATTACTTCAACCAAAAGCTTTAGAAATTCTGGGTCAAGCCCATTCCCTCGCCTATAAACTAATTAATCGTTTATCGGATTATTGTGATATAACAATAACCATATACCCATCACAAGGCTTTTCCTGAAGTAACAATATTTCGCTCCTATTATATCTTCTCTTGAGTCCCATCAAGAATTCAATGCGTTTACACATTCTTTTTTCGTAATAACCAAAATAAACAATCTACTCGAGTCACTACACGTAGATTCTTTTCTTTTTTTTTTATAAAACACCATTTTGTTTTTGGGTCTGCTGAAGGTCTCCGGCAACGTCCTCTGTATTCAAATTGTTCTTTAGTCATTCCTAAATATTCGCAATTATTCGAAGAATTAGAAAAGGAACAGATATCGTTATCGTTGCATATGTTTATATTTATAGAATGATTCGTGAGAAGCTTTTAAGTTTAGAAAAGAAAGTAATTTAGAAAATATAAGGAAAAATACAAATGAAAAACATTTCAGTTAAAACTGTGCGATGTCAGTCTTTTAAAGTATTATTATTATTTGTGCTACTTGGAAAGTTGAATTAAGAAAATTCCTTTGAATCTTTAACGCCAATTACAACGTAAAAACCACAATTGACGTTATAATTAGTCTTGAATATAAAATTTTCTAACTAAATAAAATTTTCTTTAATTTCCACTTAAAATTTTTAACAGAAATTCCTTAAATATTTCTTCTAACATTATAGAATTCACCACTATCAGCATGAATCATTATAAAAACAGACTTCAAATGTCATCAAATGTCGAAATTTGTTTGTTATATTAGTGTGTCACAAAAATGCCAATGCTTACACAAATTTATGGCAAAATAATCGATTCAAAATGAAAATCAATAAGACAAAGAACATGAATTTGAATTAGTAATCTTTACTGGGTAAGGTAAAATAATTATGCTTTAATTAATATGTTAATGATCATCGAATAATATATAAAAACATCTTGTTCGCGTTTACTATAGATAGAATAAAAGTTAAAAATTGGGTGACAAGAGTTGTGTTACTTAGAGAAATGCTAAAATTAGAACTTGAGACACAAACACTATCCATTTCAAAGACACCCGCCACACAATTATACAATAACCAGCCATTTACACAATCACTCGCCACATAAATATACAATCACCCGCCTCACTTCCTAACACGTTTTGTGGCAAAGGTCACATTTTGTGGCTAAAATCCATTTTGTGACCACATTTTGTGGCTGAATCACGTTGTGGCTGAAACTCAAAGATTAGATATAAAATAATGGCATTATTAAAATAAAACACTGAATTCTTTCTTAAATATTTAATGTTTTGTTATTTATATTTGGTCATACTATTTTTAGATTGACTCAGTTTAATTAATTAGTTTCAATAATGTAAATGTAAAAAAAAAATTAGTTCTTTCATGTGATTATTTGTTATATACAATTAAATTATAATCAATGTTATCTTGCCTCCTTAAATAATCTTCTTTGAAAATTAAGAACAAAGAAAAAAAATAAACATAGACACAATTAAACATAATTACACAATCAACTTGATTTAGCTTTATTTGAACTTTCAGATGTGTAAACAACCAACGATTTAGAATTTATCAATGACCATTATGGAACTTCATTTGTCATTTGAAAATGATTTTTTAAAATTAGAGATGCGCTTAAAATTACTTAGTTCCAATTTGTATTAATGTATCATTTTTATTTAAATTTCTAATTTCTTCATGATAAAGTCGCATTCATTGCTGAAATCACGTATAAAAATAATCATTTATATTATAACTGTCACACTTCTATTTAACAATTAAGAACACATTTTGAATTGATGAATTGGCGATATCGTAAAATGATATCAAATGATATAATTTTTTAATTTGTACTTTCATCGCGGCCATTAAAGTTCACCTGAAGCAACTTACATGTTTAATATTTTAAATTACGCGAGGTTTTCGATATAATTTCACTAATAACATATACTTTTAAAAAAAAAAAAAACTCTTGAATTCCCGAATTGGTTTAATATTCTTGTAAGTAAATTAAAATCATGCAAGATAATTTTCTAAATACATGATTAAATTCAAAGAAAAATTACGTGCATAAATTTTGAGTTCAAAATTTTCAATTTTATTAATTATGTGAATTATAAAAAAAAAATGATCGTAAAGTGCGATTCCAAACAATCTAAAATCTTTAATAAGGGAATATTTTATTGGATCAATGATTTTATTTTTTCATTCTACGGGATGCGCCTCTTAATTGTTTCTCACCATTCGCATTTTATTCTTCCTTTTTAAAAAAATCATTATTATATTTTATATGAAATATGTATGAGAAAAAAAAACAAACAATAAAACTATTTATAGTCGTCACGATATTTTAATAAAATTAAGTGAAGAAAATACATAGAATGCATTTATTTTTTATCAAAATAGTCATCAAAAGCAAAAATTTTATGTTGTGTCTGTGTTTATTTATCAACCTAAAAAATCTCGGCATTTTTAACTTGATCGGCAAATTCAACTCCGATTAAATTAAATTTAGAACAAAAACTCTTTTTGGTATTGAAAGATTGAAGAATATAAAACTCTGTGAAATACAAGATTCTATTTAGTAAGTTTAGTAAGCAGTTTAAATGTTAATCAATGTTAATTTAATATTAAATTTGGTAATATTCCCAATAACTGGTGATCACTGGTTACACAATAAATATTCATTTTATTTTCTATTACAAATATGAAATTTAAATATAAAAAGACTTAAATCTTCTCTTCTTCGATTTTCACTACTCAGTGTAGCAAAAGAAAAATAAAAAATTTACAATTTGTGCATTTCACATGAAATTTATATAAATACGAGTATTTTCTTTTTAATTTAAACCACAAAAAATGCATTCCGACCAATCATATGAAAATTTTATTATGGAACCGATGTCACAATTCGATTTCCCTAGTATTATTAGTTCTGAATATAGTAATATACCATCTGTAGAAACGACCCCAAATATATCGCAAGATCCTCCACCTCCCACTATATTAATAAGACCAACTTATCCACCGCAAATTACCGTCGATGAATTAGTTACTTCTAAACCAAATGGTGGTAAACCATCTAAATCCAGTAACGCATTCATTATTTATCGTAAGGCATACGTAAAAGAACTTCATTCAAGAGGAATTAGTCTTCAGATGACTCAAATCTCGCCAGTAATTTCAGAATCTTGGAAACAAGAACCAGAAAACGTTAAAGCTGAATATAAACGTCTAGCTGAAGCTGCAAAGAAAAAATATAAAGAAATGTGGCCACCAAAACCACGACGTCGTCATCAAAAAAAACAACAACCGCCAATTCCACAAACTCTTTTATTACAAACATTACAAACTGTTTCGGAACCACCTCAAAATAATAACAATAATAATAACAATAACAATAACAATAACAATAATAATAATAACGATAACGTAACACAGAATCCCTCTACTCAATTTTTCGATTCGTACTTTACAACACAAACAACACAAACAACACAAACACAAACAATACAAAATAATCCAGAGCTTTTCGACCCATCTTTAATTGATCCATTTTATATTGAATTGGATACACTTTTGAATAGTTTCAATAATCAAAATGACAATATCATATTTTCTTCATCTCCTTCTAATAATAATCCTTTATACATTAATGAAATTAATAATAATAGACCTACAATATCTTTGACAGAAGGAAATGATAATAATTCTGTGTTAACTTACTTAAAAAATCTACGTTCAACCATGTCTCAACGGAGAAGCATGCCTGAATCAACTAATCGAAAAGGTCCATTGTTGGCTTATCATCAGCTTATGTCATCATGGCATAAAGAATTAAAACGTCCCGAATCCGCTCCTTACCGTACTTTCAATGATGCCAAGGAAGTTCCTTTCTTCACTTTACATTTAGTCTAAAATTAGAAAATAACGATAGGGGTCGTTTCTTTTGATGGCGATTTTATTTTATACATATATACATATTTTATAAAACCATATTTCATAAATATTCAAATTTTTTCTTAAAAATATTTTTGGCTCGGGGATTATAACTTGTTATTTTTATTTTATTTCTTTCGTTACGATTTTATTCTCCGACCAACAAAATTTCTAAAATTAAAAATCAAATGTATAGAAAAATTTTTTCATACTATAAAATTAAAAAATTCTTTTCATATAAAAAAAAATGTTTATACAAAATTTTTTATTAATTCGTTGTATTGAATTTTATTTTCATGTTTTTTTTTTCTGCTGATAAACTAGATACTGGATTTATCGAATTTATTATTTTTTTTTTTGATTTACTGATATTATTTTTTATTGGACGTTTAATTTACATTATGACTAAAGGGATTAAAGGTGAAATTCATTTATTTGGATATATATATATATTATGCACTTTTTATGTAGATATGAAACAATTATATAAGATTTTTCTATGAAATAATTAAAAACTTTTTTTATTTTTTTTTTGTTATTTTTCCTTTATCTATTTCTTTTACTTTTATTTCTTCTTTATCTTATACTTTTATTTTATTCCAATAACTAGTGATTGTGAATAGGAGAACTTCTGATAATTGTTATTTTTGTATTATACTGAGCTTTATTCTTAAAACGTTTGAATTTTATTATTTTTATTTTACTTTAATAAAGAAGAAAGTTTTGAGCATTCGAAATATGTTTGTAGATTGGTTTTTTTCACGGTACCGTTGCATTTTTCCAAATATTGTTTATGAATTTCCAGATTGGCGTGAAAATTATCCTAAAAGAATTTCCTTTCTCTCGACAGACAATGCAAGATTTTCCAAAAAAAAACTAGATAATCTGAGATAATATCATAAACATGTAAATGGGATATATTTTCGATTATATGTCGATTAGGTAATCGCTTTATTATTTATTAGTATCATTACAACTTCCTTTTCAGAAATGACTTAGTCCTTTCTAAGGGTGACATAACACTTTAACAAATAACACTAAAATCCTTCCAGGCAAGTCTTTCCCATTTTCAGATAGTAAACTCTACCAGATACACAAACCCAACAAATGCGAACACCCTAACCAAATAAGCAACAGCATCCAAATTATCCACCCTACGAAATCAAGTAGTAAAATAAAAATGTAAGTTTCACTATTTACTTTACATGTTGGGTTATATGGAACTTTCACAATTTATCACAATTGAGCATAATTTGGAAGGTTAATTTTTTTTTTTTTTTAACTAAACTCAAATTTAGGGACATATATCATATATTACAAACCATCAAGGTCACATGAGGGAACGCTTGCATTGTGTAATTTTTTTTATGTAAAGGTCATGTGTGATGTTCTTATAACATAAAAAAAAATTCACAAATTTTCATTTATACTTGCACATTTTTTTTTTTTTAACTTGAAAGCTATTCGGGATATGTTAAATTCTTTACATAACCTTCACTGAGGGCACGAAGAATTAATTCACCTAAAACTAATAGATAAAAAAAACAAATATGCCTCCATCTCAAAATCTCTATTTTACGAACAGCCACAAGATGCATCTGTATCTTTAAAAGTTGTCTCTCCCAACGTTCATTATACCCATAGAGATATATATATATGGATATTTTGCTGACTTTTGTGTATAACGAGAAGGGTAGAACTTTTGAGGTTTTGCCAATGGAAACGAAGTATCAATTTAAAGGTCCCAAAAGTTGGGTATGTAATGGCGTATTTGACCTTAAAATGGGTTACAAATATTTAAAATTATTTATAAGTAATAATGAATATTACAATAAAAAAATATACTTACTATTGTTATTCTTATTACCAATTCAGATAGTTGGTTGGGATGGCAATAATTGTTCTACCTTTACCGCTAATATCGTTGCAAACTGTGGTACCGTAACTTGGTGAACTAAGAAAGAAATTAAATCTTCAAATTATTGATTCTGTTGTTCAAGCCTCGACGTTTAAATTAAGTGTGGATGCTGAAAAGAAGGATGTTTACATTTCTCTTAGTCAAATTCTTTCTATGGTTCATCCCCAACGATTTTGTTCTTGACTATAATTTTTTATTTAAAATCGTTCAGATCACTTGGAATGCTTTTTGTGTGGTGGTCAAATTACCTGCGTTATAATCTATAGTAATTCATTAGCAAAGCGAGGGGTCATATATACTAGTTATAAATTAATTTTGAGAAACTCTCAATAAAAAAAATTATTATAATTTAGTGATACATAAAATAACTTCCTCCCTTCTTTCCTTGAGCAATTTTATATTATGTCACTTAATATTAATTACCAAAATACTGCAGAGTTAAAGTCACATTTCCTCCATCCATTAGTGTAGTTGAAATTCATTTAAAAAATGGCATTGAGGATGTCAATGGTTCGAAAAGAATTTAATCATGTGATTGCAAAATTTAATCTTTAAGTAAAGATGTATCTAAATTTGTTACAAACAAGATTTGCATCGTGCAAAGTAACGATCACGAATAGTAGAAATTGATCAAAAATAATAAAGGTTTTAATTTTTAAATAGTTTGTAATCTGATATTTACAAGCTTAAAGATTTATTATAAATTTGGAACCCTCTAACATGTATCACGTTTAATCTTTGTATTCATCCAGAGCGGCCCTTGGTGATATCAAGTAGTTATAGTCAAAGTTTATGATATGGAGGTTCTGCACTTTTTCTCATCTAATTAATTCATTGTGGTTGATCCTTTTTGGTTTATTCGGTGAATAATTTCTTGGAAACAATTGAACTGATGATTTTGATTAGAAGACCCTGCATAATGATTTTTGATCAAGTTATATTAGAAGACCTTGCATAATGGTTTTTGATCAAGTTATTGTCTTAATCTACTGCAATGCCAATTGAACTGATGAAGACGCCACAACATAATTATGTTGTGGCATCTTAGTTTAGGTTATGTATGACAATAGGAATATATATTGTAGTGACGACGAAAGATTGGTAAGGTGGTACAAAGATAGCAGCGCAGAAAACATGTGGTATGGGAACACAAATGATGGAAATGATGGAGAAGTACAAATGATGGAAATG